GCTTTTTTTTTGTCTGGGACACTCTTTATATCACCTTCTATTTTGAATGTTAGCCTCGGTGGATAGAGTAGTTTTGGATTCAGATCCTTGTTTTTCATGACCTTGATTACCTCATGCCATTCCCTTCTGACCTGTAGTGTTTCTGTTGATAAGTCAGCTGTAACCTTATGAGGGTTCTTTTGTAGGTAACTTGTTGTTTATCTCTTGTTGCCTTTAGGATTCTCTCTGTGTCTTTAATTTTTGGCATTTTAACCTGTTAACCGGGGAATTCCCTTTTTAATTACACAGCATATAACGGGCGCGAACTCTTTCACTAGGACATGTAAATACGTCCCACTTGGTTAACAGGTTAATTATTATATGTCTTGGTGTCGGCCTGTTTGGGTTCTTCTTACTTGGGGCTCTCTGTGCTTTTTGTACTTGTATGCCTTTTTTCTTCACCAAGTTAGGGAAATTTTCTGTCACTATTTCTTCAAATATATTCTCTAACCCCTGCTCATTTTCTTCGTCTTCTGGAACTCTTATGATGTGGATGTTGTTACATTTCATATTGTCCTACAGTTCTCTTAAGCTGTCTTCTGTATTTTCATTATTTTTTTCATTTTGGTTCTTTGATTGGGTGCTTTTTTTTCTACCCTGTCTTCTAATTCACTGCTTCGATCCTTGGCTTCCTTTACTCTGTTGGTTATTCATTCCAATGTGTTTCTTAATTTCTGCTGTGTCATTCTTCATTTTCAATTGATTGATTTTCAGTGTTTCTATATCTTTATTCATGCTATTGAGCTCTTTATTCATGCTGTTGAACTCTACCTCTTATAACTTGCTTAATTGCATTTCATTTATCTTGTCTTCTGTCGAATTCTCTTGTTCTTTCATTTGTGATTTGTTTCTTTGTTTCACCTTTTGGCAGTCTCAGTGGGTTTTGGAGCCTGCCAAATTTTTGCTGTGGGTGTTGGTGTTCTGCTGATTGTGGCTCCCTCTACTGGGTTTGGATGAGTTTGGGAGGACCCTTGTTAAACACCACTGTCAAGTCTTACTTTCCTGGGGAGATTTGCAGACCAAGCAAAGGTTCGGTTATCCTCCAGTTTTTGCCTGGAGGCTATTAGTCTCAGTTATTTGAACTTCAGGTTGTAGCCTTCAGTTGAATGAAAAATCCCTCCTGTGTACAGGGTAAGAGGATTTCCAGTGGGTGGGGCAATAGCTGTTACCCCTCCTTGCTTGCTGGTAGTCTCTGACAGTTAATGAGCCTCAATTTGCATTTCTCTGGCCTGTCCTGGTAGTGTTAAATTCCTGAGGGAGAGGCTGTTGCTTCTCCCCAAGGCTCTGTGAAGGGGCTCTTTGAGTAAAATGGCTAGTGTCCTGTGAGGGAGTGATTCAGCATAAAACCACCGGTGTCCTTCCCAGCTCTCTCCCCTGCACTACGAACCCCCGACTCTCTTCACACAGTTCCAGTCCAGTCCACCATCTCTCTGGTGGAGCCCCAGGTGAGTGGCTATAGCTGATTTAGTGCTCTGGCCCTTCAGTGAAGTGCCATTTTTTTCCTGCACCTCTCCTTGATGGATAAAGCATCAGCTCTGGTGATTTCAGCCATGTGTAATGCAGGCACCTTTCCCTATCCTGCCACTCTCTGTTGGGGGCTGTCCCTCTGTGCTGGGGACCTGGCTTGGGGTTTTAATCCCTGACTTCTCAGTGGGAACTGCTCATAGCTAAAACAGCCCTCAGCTGCTATCCGTGGGCTCCCAGGGTGCCTTCTTGAGCCTTCACAGTTTTTATCAGGTTCAATTTGGTGTCCTCTATTTGTCCCAGGTTATAAGGTTTCTCTCCAGCTGCTTTTCATTTGGTTTTTCCTAATGAGTTGTCTTTATTTTAATTGTAATTCTTGTTTGGTCCTGGGAGGCCTTTCCTTACTATCCACAAGGGTCTGTTCTTCAACCACTCCTATTCCTCAAGCTCATAGCCTTGTTCACTGGTGGATCTCACATACCTAGAAGAGTGTCGTAGCCATGGTGGGTTTTCAATAAACGTTTGTGTAATAAGTGCAAAATGAGTGGTCAAACATTCCTCTTATTTTCACTAATAGATCCTAAGGTTGTTGAAGATTGTTCTGTTGTATAAGGAGAGAGGCCAGTGAAGGGACATTTCATTGTCAGTTCTTCTTGAACAAGAGATCAGGTACTGGCTGTATTTTGAAGGTAAAGCCTAGAGGATTGACTGTTGGACCAGAGGTGGAGTGTGAGAGAAGCCAAGGAACAAAGGCTGACTCCAAGATATTTTGCCTGAGCAACTGGAGAAATGGAGTTACCACCACTGAAATGGCAAAAACTAAAAGGGGATGTTTGGTGTGGGGTGGGAAGGGGGTATCAAGAGTCAGTTTAGGATGTACAAGTTTTTTAAAAATTTATCTTTATTGTTGAAAGTATTACAGATGCCCCTTCTTTTATCCCTCATTGACACCCTCCTCCCTGCCCCCCGCCTTCACTGTACTGTTTGTCTGTGTCCATTGGTTATGCATATATACATGTAAGTTCTTTTTTTAATCTCTTCCCGCCCCTCCCCCCAACCTGAGTCTGTCTGTTCCCTACCTCCATGGCACATGTAGATTTAAGATCCTTCATTCACTGTGCCTCAGTTGTCTCAATGATAATGAGGGATTAATAATTCCTTATATAATAATTGTAAGGATTTGAGAAGTTAATGTTCCAACTCAAAACCAAATAATAGAGAAAGTGGGTAGAGAAAAATAAGTTGATTAGGAATAGTTATTAGATCACAGAGCTTTGACCAAATCCTTCAGGCATATGAAAACCTAAGCATAATTCACAAAGGTTTTTTTTCTTGTAGGATTATAGGCTGAATTGAGATGGGTTTTCTTTGGTATGGGAAGATGTTCAGTAATTCAGTTGGAAATTGATTCAGAGTACCCCAAAACGTCAACCTCTTGGTAGATCTGCAGCCATGGGAGCATGAAGAAACCCCCCACCCCCCAAAAAAAAACCTGTCTTCTATTCACTTACTAAACTGTCTTAGGACTATTGCAACCATCAACAGCAAACTTATTGATTGAGTCTCTACCATGCACAGGGCAAAATGTCAGATTCTTGAAAGCTACTATCTCAAAGATGAGAGTTGATAGTGCTGTTATATTCTGAGGATGCCTGTGAACATTTACCAGAGTTTAGCATTATAAGCTTATCACAAGAAGTGCGTGGGTAGCATTATGGTTTGAAAGCCCACAAGGTTCCTCACACGCTGATACAGTGGAGGATTTGAAAGGGTTAATTTCAGAGGACACCAATGGCCGTGTTATATTCTGAAGTGTTCTCCCCACAGCAAGTCCTCCCACACAGGCAAACTGAAATGCTTTCAGTGCATTTACTTGACTTTATTGGTACGGGAGAAATTTCATAGGCAAAAATATGGTCTTGAGAGATAATCAGAGGCTTAATTTTTAAAAGTTCTAGACAAATTTCATTTGAAGTCTTAATATCACATGACTTCCTTTCTATAGAATGGGTGGCTTATTTTCACTGTTTAGGTTAACATGTGACCCACTTAATACAAGCTTCCTTACTATCTGAAGCACCTTGTGTTACTTTTTATGGAAACGGTCGTTTCAAGCCTAATTATTTACGAATACATCTTTTGTTCCAGAGTAAGTTTCAGCAAAGCTCGGGCTCATATCTGTCTCAGTCTTAAGTCACAGTAAGGGGAGGGTACACAGTTGTACAGCTTCCTCATTTCTGTCCCAAGTCAGTCTTTACAGGAAGACTTAACTCTTGCTTTAAGGTAAATTCTTGGCATGTTACACATACAGGCATTCACCATAGAAGCACATAACAATAGCTATAGCTGATGTTTACTGAGCACTTTAACTGCCACACTTTGTTTTAAACTTTTTTCACATTTTAACTTTGTTAATGATCACAACATTCCTTCAAGGTGTATGTACTCGGGCCAGTGTACTGATACTGTTTCAATAACCTAGTTATTTAACAGGAAAGGAGTAAAGGGAAGATTAACTAATTTAATACTCCTGGTCTATTCCCCACTGATTGGAGGGGAAAAGGACTGGACAAAGGCAGTTTAGACTCATGCCCAGTAAGGTCTGAGTGATATGGGAGGTGCCCATCTGTCTGTCACACCTGGGAGTGAATCAATGGCCAGAATAGGCGTGGCCTGCAAATGCTCCAAACTTGAATATTTAATCTCCTAGACAAAAGAAAGCTCTCTCCTGCTTTCTCTCTCTCCGTCTCTGTCTCTCAATACCCATACCAGACTCCTGGCTTTCGGTGCTCCCATGCCCTGCATCCTCCATGTGGCCCAGGGCCATGTGGACTCCAGACAGGGATTGATGGGCTAAGCCTGATCTGGACCCAGCTGCGTCATGGAGAGGAAGCTCTGGACTCTGACTTTGCTTTTAGCTTTGCTGAAGCCCCAGCTACCCCTCTTTGAGGACTGGCTTCAGGGAAATGGGACATTGGAAACTGAGGAATGTCATTTCCCACAAATCAAGTCTTCTACCCCATCTCATCCTCCCATTGGGGGCTTCTGAATATGCTTATTCTGACTGTGCCCCAAGAACCCCACTCCCATTAGTGAAGGAAGAATCTGTTTTTCTGGTAACATAACAACTGAAGAACAGAGAGGTGTTAGACTGTCCAAGGTTACAAAGATTGTAAGTTAGAATTGGGTTTCAAACCCAGGCAGTGTGACTATAGAGCCTTGTTCTCAGCAACTGTGGTGTACTGCCTCCTTCCATAAGTCACAGGTTAGGGAGAATGTGGTGGAAAACACTAAAATAACTAGTTTGTTGTTTTATAGATTTGTTATGTAAGTAAATTATACGTGTAATTACTTATGTATTTATTTAAGGCTACAGTTTTAATGAATTATTTTTATTTTCCATTTCCACAACAAAATATATTGGTGACCATTCATTGGCAGGACTTAAAGTTATTATAGTAAATATTAATTGTGATTTTTGTTTTCTTTCTTCCCAGTTTCATGGTTTTCTCCAAATGAAAATATTCTTATTGTTATTTTTCCAATGTTGGCTGTACTTCTGTTCTGGGGACAGTTTGGTATTGTGAGTAAGTACTTATTTCTATTTTCATTTATATTTTAGTGATGACATTATTATTTCTAGGAGACAATATTAGTGAAATAGTCTATTTAAATTATATTAAGAAATGCGATAATGTTATAAATAAGAGTATACAGTTTTAATATTAATATCTTTGAAGTATATGTGGTCCCCCATAATTTGCTGCAGTTCCTAAGGAGTTTTTGTTTTAAGAATGAGTAGTGGGAATCCTAATAATGGCACACCTAAAACACATGCTGATTTGAATGTTCACAGAGCATTTACACACACATTATTTTCTTTGGTGAGAAGATGGTCACAGCCTTTATTACAGTGTTAAGATAGACTTTTGCACTTCTGAGGCTAAGAAGTCCATCTCTTTATTTTCCCAGTTTGAATTTCTCTGTATACATGTGTCATCCTTGGAAAAGCCCACTTTGAACCACGTTTGTCATCCTTACTGTGCCGTTCTGCAGCCCCTAAGGACGCAGCCACAGGAGGGCTGTGTTCTTTGATCATTTTTTGCTATAATAACCACGTGACCAAACTTCTCAGGGTAGATCTTGGTGCTGCATCAGATGTGGCATCGACAATGTGGAATTGTCACTGCTAAGTAAAAAGGTAGTGTGCATTCTCCTGGATGATTCTATTCAACCACACAGCTGACCCTTAGACAGCACAAGATTAGATTGTGCAGGTCCACTTATATGTGGATTGATTCCAGGAAGTACCGCAAATGTATTTTCTCTTCCTTATGACTTTCTTAATAACATTTTACATTCTTTAGCTTACTTGATTGTAAGAGTATAGTATATAATATGTGTAACATACAAAATGCATGTGAATCAGCCGTTAATTTTATCGTTAAAGCTTCTGGTCAACAGCAGGCTATTCGTAGTTAAGTTTTGGGGGGAGTTGAAAGTTATATGTGAATTTTTTGACTATGCTGGGTGGGGATGTCACCTCTCCTAAACCCTGTGTTATTCAAGTGTCAGCCGTATTTCCACACCAATTTGGAAAGGAGATTTACTGAATTAGTGAAGTTTTGATCTGACACTCTAGACCTTTTAAACTTTTAACATGTAAGATTTATTCCTTATCCCCTAATAGTGCACTGAAATAGTCAGGCATTGAAGGCCAGTTACGATTTATGCAAGGCAAGGAGTGAATAATGCTGATTTCATTTTATAACTTTAGAAAAAAAAGTGAAAGCTAGTAAAATAGTGTAGTGGATTGGCCTGTTGTGTATCTCATGAATTTTACTTTTACTCAGAAATTTCAGACGTATATCTAGAATGGTTATATAAAAATGGAAAGGGAGATGCCTGGGTATTTATTTTAAGGGCTCTTCTCAATGGATGGCACTCTGGGAAGGCTTTGAGATTTCAAAGCTGCTCTCAGCTTTTGTCTAAAAGGCGAAAAAGGGGAAGGAATGGGCTAACGGTGACAACCATCAAGACATTTCATAACTCTCACTTTTGAAACGGTATCTAGAATTTCTGTGGAAATTTTATTAGAACTTTGAGAAGCCTTTTATATTAAGCAAGAGACTGGTACAGCATCAAGACCTCATCAGTCTTCACTGGTATTAGGGAAGGCCTTGAACCCTAGTGGCAGACCGAAGCGGAAAGACCTACGTTGTATAATTTAGGTAGGAAATTGCCCTTTTTTTAAGATCGTGGAATTACTTCACAGTGTGATTTGCCACATTTGGATTGATTGTGGTTTGGTGATCATGGCATTCTCGTTAGTAACGTTATTTTGAGTGGACTGAACCAAGAATGAGTGAGTCTATTCCTGTCAGCCATATTTTGACAAAATAAGATTTACAGACTTTTATCCTGACTTAAAAAAGAAATACATATCCCTTTAGAATACCTTATAGTTGAATGGTTCTCAGCCTTCCTAATGCTGCGACCCTCATGTTGGGGCGACCCCCACCATAAAATTATTTTCGTTACTACTTCATAACTGTAATTTTGCTACTGTTATGTCTTAGGCGACCCCTGTGGAAAGGTCGTTTGACCCCCAAAAGGGTTGCGACCCACAGGTTGAGAATCGCTGCCTTATACACTATAGCAAGTTAGAGAGAAACAAACAAAAATAATAATCTAGAATCACACACCTAGAAATAAACTATTGGTTTAGTCTAGTGAATTTTTAATTTCCTTTTGTCTTTTTTTCTATGTATTCTGTTACCTTTGTTTTAAAAAAAAAAACACAAAAAAACATAAATGGACTCATATAGCTTATATCCTTATACATCCTGATTTCCCCCAGTCCCGTGGTTTCAGAAATCTTTTTATAGCTGCCTGTGCTCTACTCTAATGGCTGCATTATAATTTACTTAACTCTCTCATCTTGATGGATATTAAGGATGTTTCCAGGTTTTTTGATACTAGGAAAGTCACTCTGCTAAAGATATGTAAGCTGCAAATGGCAGAGATATTTTAAGGCTTTTGATATATCTTCCCAAATGTTTTGTAGAAACATTGTATCAATTACTACTGCAGATGAAAATACCTGCCTTTCACATCTTGACATCATTATAATTCTAAAATTTCTACTAATTTAATGGATGAAAAAAATCTTGTTTTAATTTTCATCTTTGTGTTAGTGAGGTGAATGTTCTTTTTTATATTTATTCTACTGGTCATATTTTAAGGAATGTGCTTATGAACCTAAATATTTTGGCGGCAATATTTTATTTAGGCTCATCTTAAAACAAATAACTAAAGAGAGGGAGAGAGTGTGTATGTGTGTGTAAGGCACATATATATTTGATTCATTCAGCAGGGACTCAGATTTGAAGGTGTTTATAAAAATAGCACCTAAATATTTATGTAGTTCTTGTGCTCTGTGATGGATACTTTGTAAAGTACGCTCCATTTTGGACTTGTGTGTCTATTTTCTTCACCAGGTTAGGGAATTTTTTCATCATTATTTTTTCAAATAGGTTTTCAATTCTTGCTCTCTCTCTCTTTTCCTTCCTGCACTCTCATGATATGAATATTGGAATGCTTGAAGTTGTCCCAAAGGCTCCTTACACTGTCTTCATTTTGGGGGATTCATTTTCCTTTTTGCTGTTCTGATTGGGTATTTTCTGCTTCCTTATCTTCCAAATCACTGATTTGATTCTCTGTTTCATCTACTCTGCTGTTAATTCCATGTAATGTAGTCTTCGTTTCAGTTATTGTATTCTTCACTTCTGACTGGTTCTTTATGTTTTCTATCTCTATTTTTATGTTTCCTATCCCTTTGTTGAAGTTCTCACTGAAATGGTTGAGCATCTTTATAATCTGCATCTGGTAGATTGCTTGTCTCTGTTCTGTTTAGTTCTTTTCTGGAGTTTTGTTCTGCTCTTTCATTTGGGACATGTTTCTTTGTCTCCTCATTTTGGCTGCCTCCCTGTCTTTGTTTCTATGTAACAGATGGAGCTGCTATGTCTCCCTGTCTTAGTAGAGTGGCTTTATGCAGGTGGCTTAGTAGGTGTCCTGGAAGGCCCACTGGCACAGCCTCCTTGTCACCCAGGCTGGACACTCCATGTGTGTCCCCTTTGTGGGCTGTGTACACCCTTCTGTTGTAGTTGAGCCTTGATTGTTGGCACATCATTGGGAGGGATTTACCCCCAGGCCAGTCGGCTTTGAGAACTAGCTACAACCCCAGCAGAGAATCAGCTGTGCAGGAGCCCACCCCATAGAGCAGGGCTCACTTCAGTAGGGCTCTGGTGCCTGCTGAGTCTGACCTTGAGTGTGTCTCTGGTGGAGGTCATGGAGTGGAACTCCAGCATCTGAACTGGCCACCATGTTCACTGGCTCTGGTGTGTCCCAGGAGGTGCAGGCCAAGGTCAGCTGCTGCCTGTGCCCTGCTCTGGGCCACCTGCCATGAGCTACAAAGCAGTCTGCAGATGGCTGCTACTTTTGCTGGGCTTGGAGGTAGCCAGGAGAGGCCAAGCTGCGAACCAAGGCTGACTGCTGCTAGTGCCAGGCCTGGAGCCACTTAGCAAGAGGTATGGGGCACGCTTGTTTTGGATTTGTGAACCTTTAAGAGATTTTAGGAAAGTTGGCAGCATGAGCCAAGACAGGCTGTTTGTATGGAAAAGCCATTGGAAAAGGATTAGGCGAGCCTGTGAGTTGGGGCGGGGAGAGGTCTCATGAAATCACCGGGGCAGGGCTAACAGTGTTAATCACGTTGATGGAGACTCAGATATGGGGCCTGCCTGCCTGCTCTGTGGAGGGAGGTCTCAGCAAAGGAACAAAGGCTTCTGCCCACACTTCTGTCTGGGAGAAAGCTGGCCCTTTAGCCTTTGCCTCCAAAGCCAGACAAACAATTCAGTTTCTTCCTGTTTGTCCCTGACACACCTTTGAAGCTTCAGCCCCAGCGCTGGAGTCCAGGAGCCAATGAGTTCAAGTAAGTCCATGAACGGGCCCTTTATGAGGAGTGCCTGGGGCTCATGGAGCCCTTCGTCTCCCTCAGCCTCAATCCCCGCTGGTTTCCACAGCCAGAAGTAATGGGGACTTTTCTTCCCGGCACTGGAACCCTGGCATGAGGGGTTTGGTGTGTGTCTGGGACCCCTCACTCCTCAGAAGGACCTCCACAGCTGAGATATTCCTCCCGACTTCTACCTGCCACACGTTGGTATGGGGCCAGCCTGCTCCTCTTCTCCACCCCTCCGACCAGTCTCCATGTGGTTTTTTTCTTTATAGCTTTAGTTGTAGGACTTCTGTTTAGCTAGACTCCAGGCAGTTCTCAATATTGGTTGTTATGTACTTCTTTTTTTTTTTTATCCTCACCCGAGGATATTTTTCTATTTATTTTCAGAGAGGGAGTGAGGGAGAGAGAGAAACATCGATGTGAGAAAGACACATTGACTGGTTGCCTCCCGCTCGACCCTGACCAGGGCCAGGGATGAACCGCAGTCAAGGTGCATGCCCTTGACCGGAATCAAATGCGAGACTCATTAGTCCGTGGGCCGACACCAACCGCTGAGCCAAACCAGGCAGGGCA